CCCCAAAACCCCAAAACCCCAAAACCCCAAAACCCCAAAACCCCAATAACAAAGCTATCGCAAACTTAATTAAATATTTTTAATTAAAATGGGAAAGAAACGCGCTGTTAGACTTGCAAGGAAAAAGCCAGTTATGAGGAATCCAGCAGAGAGATTGGACTACTTCAAAGAGAAAGCAAAAGCTATGCAAGTTGAGAGCAAAGCTAAGCCAAAATCTCATAAAGTAAAGCGTTTGCTTGAGAAAAAGGAATATATTCTCCAAAACGATCCTAAACACAGCTTATTTATTAGAGGAAATAATGTCTCTCAAGTGACAAAGACAGCCATGCTTGAGCTTCATAAGATGAGAGATCTCTTTATTAGTAAATGTCTCTTACAGAAGAAGAATAACATTCAGCCCTTTGAAGATGCCAGCTATTTAGAGCATGTTGCTGATAAATATGACTGAGGTTTTGTTCTTTTTGGAAGCCACAATAAGAAGAGGCAAAACAACATGATTATTTCCAGAATGTATAACCATCAACTACTCGACATGCTTGAGGTAGGAGTCGAAAGCTGAAAGACAATGGTAGAGTTCAAAAATAAGATCTCAATAGAGATTGGACAACAGCCAATTTTATTGTTCCAAGGAGATCCATTTGATCTTTCTGAGAACCATATAAAGTTCAAGAATATGATGATAGATTTCTTTAGAATCAAGCATCTGAAGAGCACCAATATTCTTGCTTCCCAGAGGATTATCTGCTTCACAGCACAAGAAAACAATACTCCTATCATGTTACAGCATTTTGAAGCAGGGACTATTAATGAAGGATTGGCAGGAGATAGTAATATTGAATTGACCGAAATTGGCCCAAAGATTGAGATGTCAATTAGGAGGGTAAAGCATGCAGATCATGAAGCATGGAAAGCAGCTACTAAAGTTAAGAAATCCAAGGCAAAGATCATTCAGAAGAAGAGGAATATTTCTCATAATGAGCTTGGTCAGACTGTTGGAAAAGCATACATTCAACATCAAGACCTTAATACTTTGGCCTTGAAAAAGCCAAAGAGGAAAAAGATTATTGAAGGGGATGAGCCAAGCAAAGAAGCTGAAAAAGAACCAAGCAATGACGGAAGCGATTCATAATAATCAGGGAATTTATGAAACATTAGCGAAAATTAAAATAGTCTTCAATACTTGATTGAAATATAGGGGTTTTGGGGTTTTGGGGTTTTGGGGTTTTGGGGTTTTGGGGTTTTGGGG